TAGCTACTTGGATCGACCTAAATACTAATTCATAATTTCATATCCGGTCACATGGGTGGCAAGCCACTCCCATCCGGTCACATGGGTGACAAGCCACTCCCACAAAGGAGGCCACACCCACAGAGTAGATTCAAACGATTTTTGAAACCCACCACTGAATAGTGTCCTGAAAAAGGCTGCCAATGCAGTAACATTAATGGGAATGGGTTAAATAATCAGGTATGCAGTATTAAAATAAAATTTACAGTGATAAAATATTCATGTATGTTTTCTTAAACTGAACTTTCATCCATTATTTCTAGGTAAACCTAAAATAAAAAAAATACAGAAGATATAGAGAAAGGCAAACAAAATCAATAGGGAATCCAGATTCACTTAACAACCATGTTACCAACTTAACAAATGCAATGATTCACTTAATAACCATGGACAGAAAGGTCATAAAATGGGACAAACTCACTTAACAAATGTTGCACTTAGCAAAATAAATTTGGGGCTCAGTTGTGGTTGTAACTCAAGGATTACCTGTGTTCACTATACATATTGCAGCACTATAGTGAAACAGACTAATATTGTGCACCCTAATTTTATTTCATGATCACTTACTGATTTTGATGTTGGCTTTTGCTCGCAGAAGGAGTTTTAGGCATTCAGGTTTATTATGAAGGCTACAATAATGAAGGGGAGTATTTCCCTTGGATGTCTGTTTCAGCAGGCTCCCACTAGAAGAGAAATATTATTCATCAAACAAAAATTCTCCACTTATGGAACCATGATTATTTATTAATTGATTGACCAAATTTATTTGGGATCTCACTGATCGAGGTGACTCTGAGTGGCTTATAACAAGGTAAAACACACAAACACTCAACGATTATAAATATGAAAATGGATTAAAGTTAGAAAAATTAAAAAAAACTAAAAACAAGGATTTGGCGGAGAGAGAGGTAAGGGTCTCTATTAGTGCACCAGCCACCTCCAGCCACCAGATTCTCCTTCAGGTTCCCATGCCAACTGGCAGAGGCATGTTTCCTGAAAGCTAAAAGAGAGGGGCAGATCTTACCTCCTGTGGCAAGATCTTCTAAAGGGCAGGAGCAGTGGCAGAAAAGACTCTTCTCCTGGATCCCACCAGCCAAAATTCCTTGATTGATGGGATCTGCCCCTTCTGCTAGCACGAGTGGAATGGCCCATTCCCATTGGGGAAAGATGGTTCTGTAGTTATCTTAGACCCATGCAATAAAGAATTTTAAAGGTAGCAACCACCTTGAATTGCGCCCAGAAGCATACTGGCAGAATGCAACTTGCATAATAGTGGTGTTATCTATGCCAATGCCACCATAGGGGCCTCCAAAACTGTCTGCGCTGGTCCATTCTGGACCAATTGTGGTTTCTCTTCAAGCATAGCCCAATGTAGAGTGTGTTGCAATAATCCAAACAGGAGATGACTGAATGCAGGTCCTCACAGTCCAGAAAAGGGCGCAATTGATGTACCACACAATGTTGTGTGAAGACTCTCCTAGTCATGACTGCCACCTGTTTTTTGAGTCTAGGAGCCGTGAGTCTTAGAAATACCCCAAGTTGTGCATCGAGTCTATCTGTGATAGTAACCATCCTATCCAGAACTAAAGATGATAAGTGTCTGGATACTAAGGCTCCATATACCCAGAGCCATTCAATCTTATCAGGGTTCAGTTGAAACGTCTCCCATCCTGGCCCCCACAGCCTCAAGGCACCCCAAAAGGGTAGCCACAGCATCATTTGGGTCACCAGAGGTGCAGATGTAAAGCTGCGTATCATCAGCATGTTGATGATATCTCATTCCATGGTGTCTGATGATCTCTTCTAGATGCGGTATATAAACTTTTTGTTCTGCCAGAATGAAGAAACCTCGGAGCTAATAGCTCAGAATCTATTAGTACTCTCACTTTATTTGGCATGCGTGTGAAAAAACACGGGAACGTTTGTTACTTGCTAAATCTGTTAGGCCTATCAAATCAACTCACCTGTTCTGCACCAGAAAATCTACAATATGCAAAGAAGTTCGGTCACTACCTAGGACTGCCAGATGAAGAAGTGTCTCTCTAGGTTCCTTTGAAACAAGAAAGAAAAACAAGCTGATTATTTAGAAAAATAGATTGCCATATTTCATGGGGAACTAGCATCATAGGAATGATTTTTTCAATTTCTGCTAATTTACAATAGAAAAAAACATCAGAAGAAACTTTATGGAATTACTTGCCTAAATTTAGATTACAAATTGGTCTCTGATCCTAATGCAACTGAACAACTACGGATGGCTAATAGTTTATTGGAGAATCGGGAAGGGCTGCTTAATCCTATCTATGAAATTAATTCCTCCCAATTGTTCCCACTGTCAGCATCTATTTTAAAAAATGACTTTTTGGTGTTACTATTAAAAAGTCTCCTCAGGTGAAAACAGAATCACAGAACTTCCTGCAGCAGTTGTGAAAACTTATTATTTAGGCTAGAGTGCCGTGATGGCGAACCTACGACATGTGTGCCCAAAGTGGCATGCAAAGCTATGCCGCCCTGCACATGTGGCCTTGCCTGTTTGCCTTCTGGGTTTCTGGTGTGCATGCCCATGTGATGATCAGCTGTCCTTTGTGTGTGTAGCAGTGCCAAAAACCATCCTGTACATGAATGCCGGCCAGTTGATTGTCGGGCGCGCGTCCACGCTAGAGCCCGGAAGTTTGGCTTTTCCAGAGCGAGACCCTGATGAACATGTGTGTGCACGTGCAATGTTTCCGCACAATCACTGCTATAGCGGAAGAGTGTTCAAACGTTGACATAATATTATTAGTAAAAAAAGAGTTATTTGTTTATTTTATTAATTACATTTAAGAGAAAATGTAGGACAAAATGAGCGGACAACAGAGGGAATGGTGGAAAGAAATATGTCAGCATCATCCTTCATGGTGGCCTCTGAATGAGTGGGAAAACAGACTCTATCAGCACTACTGACAACAGAAATAACAATCCATTAAGTTTTTTCCATTCAGTGGGTTTTGACTCAGAAGAAGGAAAGGGAAGTTAATGAGTTTTTTATTGAGCAAGCTACAGCTCTGAAGAAAAAGACCAGAATATGAATGCTGAGTCACTTTAAGCCAATTATCTTTTCTAACGTAGTTCAAAAACCAATGTTTTCTTTTAAGTGTGAATAAAAAGAGTGTATTTGCATGTTCCACATTTTGGTATTAATGTATCATTTCTCATAAAGTGTCCTTATCCTTCAGCTTTTAACAGGAGGAAGTCTCACCTGGCTAAATTCCAAAACAGGCTCACTTAACTCCATTTTTTCTGCATATGCTTGAAGCAAAATAAATATATCCTTCTCTTTGACAGCATTCTCCAAATTCTTGAGCTTGGCAACTGGACTCCTCATGATCCTTGGAACAACATACTTCCTATCAACATACTTCGAAATTATGAACAGTTTCCGATGAGCCCTATAATGGTACACGGGAAGACAAAAATTACAGATTTAAAAGGTGCACGATAATGATCCTCTAGCAGAAACAATGAACTCCTTCCAACAAGCAGAGAAGTGCAAATCATAAGGCTCCAAAAGAAGGAAAAACAGGAAAAACAGGAAGAAAGACAGCGAAAGATTTTACAGCGAAAGATTAATGCCTACAAGCCCTCTTGTATTCCCAGCAGCAAATAAAAGTCACTAGAAGATACCGGATTTCATGGCCTTTTAATCTGATCCAACTTCTTATAACAAGAAAAGTAAACACAATTGCTGCAATCTCAGTTGCTTTTATTTTTATTTTCAATTTTACTTTTAAATTGCGAAAATTTACACTGACTGTAGCCATTTGCTCAACTGATATTCTGAGTGTTTTAAACTTTGTTTTATGGAATTGTGATAATTCTGTCCCTTCTCTCCCAATCCCCTACTCATGATCATAAAATAATGAATGTTCCTTACATTGCACTTTCCTTAGTTGGCTTTGAAGATGAATTGGGAAGGTTGGCTTCCACTATGTCATTAAATCGTAAGTTTCCAATATTTTTAGCCAACTGCAAAAAGAAATAAGAATATAACACAGATTTTATAACATAGTGAAACATCAAATCTTTTCCGAAGCTAAACTTGTAAAAGAATGGCGATGGTGCAGAATGAAATTGGTTCTTACCAGAAGCTCTGAGGTGGCCAATTTGTCCAAGGCTAATGATTGGATGCGGGAGTGATGAACACCCAACTCTCGATGAATCCCAGAACATTCAATGCAAATTAAGATCCCCAAATTAATGGAGAGCCATGCTGGATCTATGCAGGGAGGGAGCACAGGGATATAGTGTTATCTTGCTGGAAATAATGAATGATACTGGAAATGTTCCCAATTTTTGACGTTGTGAAGGTACAGTATTTCCTAAAATATTAATAGGTTACTACTGTTTACTACAGAATAAAAAATAAAACAAAATAAGGGGAAACAAAGACAATAGTCACATTTAACAATCTGTGTGTAAGGAAGTGGGCAGATGTTTTATTTAACAAAGGGGGAAGGCAATTGTTTTGCAACGTCAAACCCTCTTTAGAGAATTACAATTTAAATGTGTTTGTGTCTCCTTTGAACTCTTGTGAAACAAGTGGTCCAACCTCCTTTCTTCAGGGGAAATCTCATTCTCACTTGTTTCTATGTTTTGGCAACAGTGAGATCTACTGCCAAAACATAGTTGTTTTTCATGGGCTGTGTCAGAACTAACTCTCATGTTGGAAAATGATGCAATCCCATTTTTTAAATTTTCAAATTGGTCTGCTGGATGCAGGGGTGGATTCCGGCTGCCATTATTATCAGTTTCTTAGTAAAAAAGTTTGCACGCGCGCTCTCGCTTTGCTCGTGCGCACGCCAGAAGCATTTTCATTTAAAACGATCTGCGCATACACACATTAAAAAATGAATAAAAATTACATTTTTAAAATGAAGATTGTTCTGCACATGTGCAGAACAGAAAATCAAGATCCACCCCCACCCCCCGATCATAGAACCAGTACAGTCATGTGTACATCGGAGATACTACCTATTCGGCCAAACCGGACCGAACATAGACCTTCTAGGAAGCCCTAGGCATCCACAGCTAGTGCAATGAAAGAAAATGATGGAATGTGTTCAGTGAAGCTTTGATGCAATTTTTTTTCATATTCTGCCTCCATGCCAGCATCTTTTGTTATTCTGCCCATGTTGCTGAGCTTATAAATATATCTAGCCTGTTGCAAAGTACCTCAAAAAGCCCACTTTATATTTAGAATTTGAAATCAAATAGAAACAATGAACAAACTAGGAAAAACTATTAACCAGATGAGTGAGAAGACTGCTTTCAAATCACCCATCACTCAAGCCTTCCCCAGTCTGGCGCCCTTCAGGTATGTTGGATTCCTTCTCTGAAATTCCCTGCTGGCACAACCAGCAGTTTTGTGATTGGAAATAGTAAGAATTGTTGATTAGATTGATATGGGCTGGTTAAAAAGACAGTCTTTTCAATTCCTGGAGAAGAAATAAGACTCCAACACACTCCACACATCCTATCTATTGTATAACAAGGTCTATATCACTCCTTTCTACAATTTAACATAATCATTTGCTGAGATCCTAAATTGTTTCTCAGAGATATGGTGAAAAGTAGCAACAATCTCTTTTTGCACCTGGTGTTGAGCAATCACAGCAAATGTTGTTTCCTGGCATGTGCTTTATTTCCTCAATGATTGCTCCAGTCAGATTCTCCGTGTTGTATTCGTCCTTGTTGTGGGCCTGTTTGAAGGCAACGTTCAAAGCTTCTTCTTTACTGTTACTCAAAACAGAGATCCATCTGTAATATAGAAAATGTCATTAGATAAATGGATGCCTTCATCCTGTTAGATAGAGCGCCACAGATTAAGGGAATGTATAAAATCTCACTGTGTACATCACTTCCTTCACATTAAAAATGGAGAAAGATAAAAATGGATCTGTCTGCACAATGACTGAAATTGATGGATGAAACACTTCCCTGACCTGGGAAAAAGATATATATATAGTCTTATGCCCCCCACTTATTAATTTCATGCATCTGTGAAGGGCAGTTTTCAAAAGCTAAATTAAATATGTTGCCATAAAATAACTAAAAGGTACATTTCAAAAACTCACCATCTTTTAAAGATTTTGTCCTTGTAAATGATATTGATCTTGAAACAGTTTATCACATTTTATGGTATTGTGAATTTTATAGGAGTCTTTGGCAGGAAGTTATCTGGCTTATTTTAAAATCAAAAACAGGAAGAAATATTTCTGAATATGTTAAAAATTTACTTGCAGATGAAAATATTACAGAGGCCGCTGCCAAATTTTTAACTATAATTATAAAACCAGGATTTTTAGTAACACCTCAGTGAGTTCGGTTTTTTAGTGTATTATGTAATATTTTTAAAATATTATAAATGTTAAACTGTTTTATCAAATGAAAAAAATTAGATTATATTTGAAACCTGCTATTGGGACCTTTTGTAGCTCTTTGGTGGCTGGACACCACCAAAGCCAACATCAGCTACAGCATAAAATCACTGGAAGAAGCTGTTTAGATGAGAAAACATGGACAGAGTCAGTCCATAGAACAGAGGTGGGTTCCTACCAGTTCGCACCTATTCGGTAGAACCGGTTTGTCAAATCTACCAAACCAGTTAGAAGAGGTTCCACCAGTGGCCCCGGAAAGCAGGCCACACCTACAGAGGAGGTTCCAAAATTTTTTGAAACCCACCACTTGGATATGATTATTCTACACTATCATGCTCATATTTATAAAATTC